CCAGGACGTTCTCTAAGCCTTAGGCTCAAGGATGTTTCTATGCTAAACCATGCTGGGAAAAGTTCATTATCCACCTCCACCATGAGGCTCTTCTGGGGGGGGGGGGAGGGGGGTTGTTCTGTTCCCATTCCTAAGCCTAAATCCTCTGGGATGTCCTGGAATTCCTGGACATCTCACTTAAGTTTATCCAAGGAAAATCTGGCGCTCTAGTCCACAGGGAGTTGCGAGGCAAACTCAAAGATGGCATTACTCTGGTGGTTCAAATCCATAGAAATCTCTGGAGCTCTTTGTCCCTGAGCTCTTTGCTCATCCTACCATTCTTCTTTGTCGTTTACTCAATTCTTACTGCTCAATTAGTCCATGGAGAGGACAAGCAGTGTTTTCCTCAAGATAGAACAAGTCATGTCAACCTCATGTCAATCAATACACACGAGTCAGAGCAGAGCTGTTCTCCAGTTTTCAGACTCCTTCACAGAAGATCACCAGGCCTTTGTCCCAAGGTGCCTCCCAATAGCCTCAAATATCTCATCTTTTTCACAGACTCCTTCTCAGAAGCAGATCACCAGGCCTTTCTCCCAAGGTGCCTCCCAATAGCCTCAAACCTCTCATCTTTTCTTAGTTAGCAGTCAAGCATGTCATTATTTTCGCCATCCTGGGACCTCATACAATAAAGGGTGGAGACAGATGTCATCTTAATTCTATGGACTCTGGAAACAACTGTCCTGGGTGGTCACCTCTTTTCTACTATACTGATTCTCAGGCAAGTTACTGACACTTGATGAGTCTCATATTCCACACTTTTACAATGGGACCAACATGAGCACACACTTTTCTTAGCATTGTTGTTGTTATGTACTGTCAAGTCACCTGAAACTCAGAGACCCTATGCACAACAGCCCTAAACCTTGCTCTACCCTGTGTCAATATTATTTTCTCTGAGACACCTATACCCCCATAACCCCAGTCACTGAATCAATCCATCTCATCAGGAGAGGTTCTTCCTCTCCTGCGCTGTCTCTCCACACTCCCAAGCATGACGTCCTTCTCCAAGGAATGGTCCCTCCTTGCAACATGTCCAAAGTAGGTCACACGAAGCTTCAGAATCCTTGCCTCCAAAGAGCAGCATTTACATCAAAAAGTATTCAAAAAGCACTTAGCATATTTCTTGGCACAAAGAAAGTATTCAGTAAATGTTAGTTATTTGTATTATTATCACCAGTCCATTGTTGTTGTGTACCACTGAGTCAGAAATGACCCATAGCTGACCCTCCGGTGGGGTTTTGGAGGCAGTAAATTGCATGGGAGAAGACTTCCATCTTTCTCCCATGGAGTAACTGGCAGATTTGAACTGTGTGTCTTTGGGCTGGCATTGCAACTCCTTACCACTCAGCCACCAGAACTCCTTCTTTTTAAAAAAAGAAAGAAAAAGAAAACCCTAGCATTTAAAATAGTCAAGCTGAAACTTTAAGTCACCTTTCCCTCAAAGCTTCCTCATTCAGAAAGAAGTTCAAATGAATAGCAGTGGCTCTTCTCAATGGATCAATCTTGGTACACAGACACCAGCCTTCATTCATCAGCTTGGTCAAGGGACTAAAAGCCTTCACTCTTGGTTTCTCTTCAAGGCCTGCCTGTCCTGCTGCGGGGTGGAGAGGAAGAAGGTGAAGCACACGCGAAGTCTGCATGAGGACCTGTGCACACACTGACGTGGCTCTTGTCTGTAAGGGAAGGATGGGCTCACTCTCCTTTGCCTCAGAAACAGATGAGCAGGGCCTGGCTTCCATTCTCTCTCTTTAGCCCACTAATTCCTAACATGTTGTCAGCTTGTACCTCCTGCTCACCTGCTCTCTAATTTCTTCTCTGTACTTTACCTTTCCTTGTTCTTAGAGCTAATAGCTGTCCTGGGTCTTACGATCTCCTCAGGTGATTCTTAAACAGATACCATTTAGAGTTCTAGCTTCCTATGTTAGCATCTTTATGACTCTTTTTTGGTGCTTACATGTGAGAGTTGTGTGTAAAATTTTTTTTAGTCTAAAGCATATTTGCAACCTTCCACGTCTCATGAAACCGCAAAAAGGAAAAGTGGGTCAGATGCTGGCCAAATGCACCCACTGCCAAGTAAGTGCGATTTTTTTAAGGCACTGGATCATCTGGGGATGTAGAGAGGAATCAAGATGAACACTGTGTCTTTAAGTGGTCTCCACTCTAATAGAGGAGGTTAAAATATGGCAATAATAACCACAACACAAAAAGTAAGTGGTAGATATCATGAGCAAGAGGGAAAGTGGGCCCGAGAAAGCAGAAGGGAAAGGTAAGACCCATGGAGAGAACTTTCTAGCGCAATCAGTCTTGGATGTGGGTTTGAAGGGTAGGAGAATTCTAACTGGAATAGGTGGAGAAAAGTCAGGAAGGGCAACCAAGGAGAAGGAATTAAAGGAAGAATCAGGAATGCATGAGGGAAGTACAGAAATTGCTATGAATTCATTATTTTTCTTAGGAAACATTCAGAAAAGAAGGAGAGGGAATACAAAAACTAATAGTAGTAGAGAGTAAACTACACCTGCAAAAAACAGGTTTGTCCTTGAGAAGGTAAAACCAGAATGCTCCTTGAAAGAAAATATTTTGAAGCGGTCCCTGGAGAAGGATATCATGCTTGGGAGGGTGGAGGGACAGCGAAGGAGAGGAAGGCCCTCTATGAGGTGGATTGATTCAGTGACTGGGATAATTGGGATGGGAGTGTCAGAGACAGTGCAATTGGCACAGGACAGAGCGGAGTTTAGGGCTGTTGTACATAGGGTCGCTATGAGTCGCAAGCGACTCGACGGCACATAACAACAACAACAATCTCACATACTTTGGGCATGTTGCCAGGAGGGAGCAGTCCTTGGAGAAGGACATTATGCTTAGAAAGGAGAAAGGACAGCACAGGAGAGGAAGATCCTGGATGAGATGGACTGACACAGTGACTGTGTCATTGGGGGCAGGTGTGTCAGAGACAGTGAGATTGGTTCAATAAAGGGCTGGGTTCAGGTACTATTATGAGTCATAAATGACTGTACCTAACAACAATGATATAGAGTACAAGGTCAAGATCAGTTGAGTTTCTGTATACTAGTCATTAACAATGTAGGGGGAAAACACATTTGCAATAACATTTTAAAAAATAAATACCAAGAAGCAAATTTAACCAAAATAATAAAGGGATGATACATTTAAAATTGTAAAAAAAACCCCAAAACTGTAATACATTGCTAAAAGAACTGAAAAAAGACCCAAGTAAATGGTAAGACATCTCATAGATCTTATCTCATTAAAAAGACAATACTATGGGAGCTCTGGTGGCCTAGTGGCAAGAAGCTGCACTTCAATCCTGAAGGCACACAGTTCAAATCCACCAGATGTTCTACTGGAGCAGGAGGGGGCAATCTCCTCCTGTGTCAGTCAAATTCGACTCAATGGTACACAACGGGGGGGGGGGGGGGGGGAAGACAATACTATCTAAAACAATTTAGAGATTCAAAATACCTTCTTTCATTAAATAACAATTGTTAGTAAGGTGAAAAAAAAATCCATGTACCATTCTGTTGGAATGTAAAATAGTGCAGCTAAGGAAACCGGTCTGGTATTTCTTCCAAAAAGTTAGATATGGAATTACCATGCAACCAAGGAATTCTACTATGTGTAAAACCAAAAAGATTGAAAACAAGTTACTCAAGCAGTTTCATGTACACCAATATTCATTGCAGGGCTATTCACAATATTCTAAAGACAGAACCAATCCAAGTGTTCCTCACAGCTGCAGGGATAAACAAAATGTAGTATGATTATATAAACGAACATCATTCAGCAATAACAATCAGTGAAGTTCTGATCTATGTCACCACACAAATCAATCTGCAAAGTACTGTACTAAAGAAAACACGCCAAAATAACAATGTATTGTTCCACTCTGTGACATAGTTAGAAGAGATAAATGAATATATATCAAGAGAAAGCCTACCAGGGGTTGGGCGAAGGAGGAAGAGGCAGTTATGACTTAATGGGTACTGAGTTTCTGTCTGGAATGATAAAAAAATTCTCAAAAGTTGTGGAGATGGTCACACAGCACTGAAAGTGTGATTGTTCTTGTTGTTGTTGTTATGTGCTGTCGAGTCGCTTACAACTCATAGCATGAACGTGTGATTATTGCCACCAAATTGAGCACTTAAAAGTGGTTAAACATGCAACAATGAATGAATGGAAACCCAAAATCTCTGTAAATGTTTATGAAAATTAATAAAATATAGAAAAAAAAAAGCGGTTAAACAAATTTTAGATCATACATATTATTACAATAAAAAGATATAAAATCATTTTTGAAAGAATACTGCTCTCGATAATGTTTCTATAATCATGAATATAAAATGCTAAGACACCTACAGAAATATATTCTATAAAGAGGTAACGTCACATGAACCATGGATCACACTTTCCTCACTGAAAAAAATGTTTGCTTGAACCAATAAACTATTTATAGGCCAAATACTTTACCACTACATTTTTCCTAACTTGGTGTTAGAAACTATTACCTAAAGTGAGAAGGTACACATTATAGGACTTAAGTTAGGAGTCTGTTACATACAGCAATCATTTCTATGATTTCCAAAAACCAGTATGTATTAACCATATTGGTTTCAACCAGAGTAATTTGTATAACAGATGGACACTCTCAGTGTGTTACGCCTAAGAGTGTCTGTATCTTAGTATCTTACCATCTTTTGCCTCAAATTTTAAAAGCTACTGCATTGTAGTCGTCAAAAAGAAATTCAGAGTTGCTGTGGTCTTTGAACCAAAGAATATCCACATAACACCTTAGGTGATTAACCAGCCAATGGTGGGCCTCAGGATGGGAAAAGCCCCTTGCAGTGTCAGCCCTGCAGTGTGTACCCAGCCCCACTGAGGCATCCTGCACAACCAGACAGGAGAAGGCCTGGGCCCCAGCCAGGATCCCTTTACGAGCTTACCATATACCACATGCTTGGCCACTTGGGATCATTGAAGTAAGTTGACTGGGCACGGCTGAGGTCATAATCCCTCTTCGTCCGTTTTTTTACCACTTGTTGTTGGATCCACTCCACCTGCCAAGAAGAACAACATTTGGTGAGTGTTCAAGTTTCAGAAGGGTTAGTACAAAATACATGGGAGCCTGGAATACTTCTCACCTCTCAACAATGCTATTTAAGTCATAGGCTTTATTCTGGCAATTCAAATCTGAATCTGAGTCCAAGTTCTCAAAGAATCTGCACAAACCTAAGTCTATTCTATTATTAACGCAAGAAGGCTTGGTAGCCTTTTGTGAGACATCACTTCTATTTTTCAATAATATGCAAATATTTTATCTTTACCAGAAGTACTATTTGACTCACAGTTTGAGTACTGTTAATTTTTTAAGAGTGAGCTCTGGTAACCAAGTGGTAAGAAGTCACACTGCCAATCCAAAGGCAGGCAGTTTGAATCCACCAGCTGTTCCATGAGGAAGAGATGGGCAATCTCCTTTCATGTGATTTACAGGCTCTGAAACTTTACTGTAGGGTCAGCTATGAGTCGATGCCAACTCAACGGCATGTAGCAACTTAGTGTCATTTCTGTCTAAGATAAATTTTTCATCCTTATCCAAAATCAAGGGTCAGAATTACTCTTCCCTGAAGGCTCAGATAATGAATATTGTATATACTGTAGGTGATAGCATCTCTGTTGTAATTAACCATGTAACAAAAGCAGGAAGGAGTCATGGACAATAGATAAGTAAATGAGTGAAACTGTCCCAGTAAAACTTCACATATGAAAACAGTAGATGAGATTTGGTCTGTGTGTCATACTTTATGCTCTGTACCTTATACATTTATACATGTATACATTTAAAAATGCTCTGAGATCATACGTTGAATTTTAAAATTCCTGAGCGTAATGGCTCTAGGTTCACAAACCTAGAGAATAGCTTTCTAGAATACAGTATGGTAGGAAAAGCATTATTTGGTGAATAAAAAAATCCAAAGGCCTATCTAGGGCTCCCTCTCTGTTACCAAATCAGAGAAACCATTCAATTTTTTGAGCAATAAGGTCCTGGTCAGCTCTAAAGTTCATTTCAGAAAGCTGTAATCGTTAGCCATAACCTTTGGTTGAACAAGTAACTGGGAATTTTGAGTTGAACACTTTAATCAAATATTAGGGAAATGTTTCTGTAGGGGTATTATTTAAAACATATAAAGATTATGGTAACAAAAAAATTAACATTTTTCCATTCCAAATGAAGTATATCAATGGATTCCAAAATGCTTATCTCTTCTAGTGATGATTACTTCAGTCACAGTATTTTGAACAATCAATGTCTCTGAGTTGTGGTGTTGAAGAAGAGTTCTTACTATCCGATGAGCTGCTGAAAGAACAAGTCTTTCCTGGAGGAAGAGCAGGAAGGAAGCTCCTGAGAGAAAAGGATGCTGAAGCTTCACCTCACATACGCTGAGGCTGCTGACAGAAGGGGGTCTGTCCTTGGAAAAAGATATCACGCTAGAAAAGGTGGAGGATCAGAGAAGAAGACGTTGATCCTTAGCAATCTGGACACACACAGTAATGATGGGTCCAAGCATCCCAGAGACCACGAGGGTGATACAGGACGGGAGAGGTTCAGATTTGCCACTCACAGGTGCATTATGAGGTTTCATCACGTCGATGACATCTAGCACGACCATCAATCACCTTCTGAAATGTTCTGTGCCATAATGGATCCAACATGCCACAAAAAGAAATAAAAACCAGAAGGAGAACTTTGACGTCTACCACTAAAATTGCACTCATACAGTAAAGAATTCCAAACCTCTCTAGTTTCCGTGATTGAAGAATCACTGGAGGAGAAAGAAGGTGCAGGTACTGACCCATGGGGTAAAATATAACAAGCTCAAAATACAGAGCAAATAAAATACAAAGGTCAAAAGCCAAATTAATGTCTTTCTATGGCACTCACATTGAGAAATCTATTTAACAAGACTATTGGTGCACAAGAAGCACATAAACAATAACTCTCAAGTTATATCACGACTAAAGCAAACAGAACGACACTGCCTCCCTAAATAATTGTAAAATCTATTTATAATTAGTATTGCGGCTTACATCACAAGTAATCTTTAAAAAAAACAAAACCCAATGAATGAAAAAATAATATTCTAGAAATAAAAATCTTTTTGCTTCTGTTTTAATTTATCTATACCGAGCAGATGTTGGTTACAAAGTATACAAATACACGCATCATATACACACATACTTCACCAAATGCTAAGTACCATATTTTTTTAACTGTTGTGTAACACTCAGTAAAACTAATGGTGATCTTTTTTTTCTTATGAAAAGAATGTTTATTTATTAATAGATATGGAATATAGGGAGAAGCTTTAAAAGCCACTCATAAAGCATATTGTTTACATATTATTTTTCTGAATCTTTTCTCCTCCCACTACACCATTGTATATCCATCAATACTTTTAAGAAAAAAAATGCCATTTAAAAAAAACCAAAACAAAACATCATTTTAGTGTTTCTAAATCAGAGAAAATTAATGTCCTTCCTTCCCAAAATGAAGCAGAACATGGAAGTATGCATGTACTTTTCCCATTTGAAAAAAATATCATAATATCTTTATTTCAAACACTTCCTAAGAAAAGAGTTTCATTCATTCGATAAACATTTAGTGCCTACTGGTTGCCAAGCACTGTGCTGAGACGTAAGGATGAGTAAGAACAGGATCTGACCTTGAAGTATATTCATTTTATCAGAGAAATTTCCCCCAAGTCTTCAAAATTCAAACCTACAATCAATTCCAACTCACAGTGAGCTCCCCTCTCAGGCTACCTAGACTGTAAATCTCCATGAGAGGAGACTCCCCAACTTTCCCATTACTGGTGCAGCACATAATAGACAGTGCCACGAGAGCACCTCCCCCAAAGTCCCCATCTCCTAAAACACAAGTATCTTTGTGGATGACATGAGCATATTAATTAATCACACCATTTATGACCATTTTGATTATTCAAATTATATTTGCAATCCTGCTTTCTATAAAGGAAGCTCAAAGCTAAACCAATGCGATGCATTCCGAGCAGTTCATTTCGATGCACTTTGAGAGGGTTCCTCTCATAAGGAATGACTTACAACTGTGGAAGATTAATGGAAGGCTGTTCAAACATGGAGCCAAAAATGAAACGGAGGAACAGCTATGAGTTGGTTCTGTTTCAATAGTAATGAGCTTGAGTTTGTCCTGAAACAACTGTCTGTCTACATGTTTACCCTCATATTTGGACTATTTTACATTTGCATGCTTGGTAAAAGAAGCTGCATATCTCTTTAGGCAAACTCTCTTCAAACTAATTCTAAGAAAGCAGTGGCCTTTGCTAAGTGAAAACAAAATGCCCACCACAGTTAAGGCTCCTGGCGATCCTCATCAGGTTGCTAGGGGTATGAATCTTAATGGAAACAGACTGCCTCACCATCCAACACCTGTGGAAAGGCTGGCAAATCCAAACCGCTGGCCTTTCTCTTAGAAGAAAAACACTGTGCCACCAGGGCTCCTAATTGTTGTTGTTATGTGCCACTGAGTCCAGAACAGCTGACAGTGACCCTCACGGATCTTCCCCCTGTCCTATCCTACACCATCCTCATCATCTCTGACATCCTTGAGCCTGCCTCAGTCAAAGCTTCTTCTGTCTTTCATACTCACTGTCCTGCTCTCAGACATGTAGCAAGTGGTTGAAAAGACTATGCCCTGAATCTGCCACACCTTAGTCTTGAAACTGACACCACTGCTCCTCAGTACTTTGGAAAGGTCCATGACAGAAGACTTGCCTAATGCATTAAATAATATCTGCTGATCTCCTGATTGCTGGTACCAAGGAAGATGAAATCATTGGCAACTTCAATCTTTTCTTCATCTATCATAAGGTTGCCTATTGGTGGCGAGAATTTTTGTCTTCTGACCTTTCTGTTGAACCCAAAACTGTGGTAACAGGGTTCCCAGATTGTTGTGGTTGTTGTTGTTATGTGCCATTGAGTAGCCTGTGACTCACAGCAACCCACTCACTACAGCCCTTAACCTGCTTGAGCCAACTTCATCACCTCTGACACATCCAACCCCATTACCCCAGTTACTGAGTCAATCCAGCTCATCCAGAGTCCTCCTCTCTTGCTCTGTCCCTCCATCCTTCCAAACATGATGTCCCTCTCCAAGGACTGGTCCTTCCTTGCAACATGCCTAAAGTATGTCAGACAGAGCTTCAAAGCCCATGCCTCCAAGGAGCAGTCTGTTTTCACCCTCTCCAAGAAAAATCTGTTTGTTCTCTTAGCAGGCCATGGTATCCATCAATCTAGTCAATACTCTTCTCTAACACCACAACTCAAAGGCATTGCTTCTTCTTCTATTCTCCCTAGTCACTGTCTAGCTCTCTAATGCATAGCAAGTAAATCCAAAGACCAGGGTCTGGTTGTACACCTTAGTCTCCAGACTGACATCATTGCTCTTGAGTTCTCTGGAGAGATCTCTGACAGCAGGCTTTCCCAAGGCAATTTGTCTTTTGATTTGCAGGCTGTTGGTACCAACAGTGTTGACTGTGGAGCCAAGAAAGCTGAAGCTGTTAATCTCAATCTCTTTGCCATCTATCATGATACTGCCAACTGGTGCAGTGGTGAGATTCCCCACTAGGCTTCCATAAATGTTAAACTGTGTACACAACAATAGCATGTGTAGACTGACCGTGTAGAATCTCTTTTCAGTGTGAATTCAATGACGAGACTCCTTGAAAACAAGGCAGTCTCCACTGAGCAGAGATGAAGAATTGTTCCTTCAAGGCACTGAAAACCTCTGCTATGTGCACATCAAAAATAGAAAAATGGAATGAATACGTGAGAAAATCAAGTTAAGAGTCATCTTCTAAGTGAACTAGAAGTACTAAAATAAGCCTGAATACCTTGCTAAATACATCTATTCTGTAATTTTCTAAAACAAAAACGCATAGTTACAGGGCTTGGTGGCTAGAAGGTTGCACAGCAACTTGGCATCTAGATTGGACTCCAAGTCACCGTGTCTGATCACAGG